TTCCCTATTTTATCTTCTAAACTTACCTTATTTTCTCCAGCATTCATTGTGCTAGGTGTCCAATCACCACTAGCCTTCGGAAAGAAAAGTGAAACAAAGAAGTCATTAAACACCTTTGCCATTTCCACATTATCTGTTATTGTTTCTCTCTCTTCATTGAGTAATTGGCCTATCCTGTCCTTGGTCTTCCTCTTGCATCTAATATATTTGGTAGATTTTTTTTTTTGTTACCCTTTGTGGCTCTTTATATTGCATTTAGTAATATAAGTAATGATAATGTGTTTTGAGACAGACATTTGATAGATGTAAATAGCCTGTTAAAGGTGGTAAGAGCCCAAAGTGAAGCCTGAGGTGCTTAATTCAGGTGGTTATTAATTGCCATGCAATGTCATTATTGCTGCTCTCTCACCTGTGAAGTATTACACACAACACACACACACTCCCTTAACTACATTAGGACGTGAATGCTTTTCAGTAGTGCATTAAACAGTGTGGCAAACATCTGTCATGTGTGATTCCTTTCCACTTTCATCCTCTCCCAGGGAGAGAAGGATATGTGCAGTATCTATTTTGTAGGGACCCCTGGCTTTGGTTTTTTTTTTTCCCTAATGTATATGCTGCTGCGTATTTGTGAGAAATAGGTGGAAGGAATTAGTTTTGTATTGGAGATACTAGAACTGTAATAAATTCAGCAGAAAAATTTCAGTCACTTAATGCTGACCTATTGAAACAATCTGTAAGGGTGCATCTACACAGCACCCTAAACTCAAAATAGGATACACAGTTTGCGCTAATTCAATTTAAATTTCAAAACAGGCTATTTCGAAATTTGGTGCATCTACACAGTGTCAAATTTCGAAATAATGCACTATTTTGAGACATCCCTTAACCTTTGTGGAATGAGGGTAACTGGGATGCCGAAATAGCACACCCACTATTTCGAAAAATATTTCAAAATAATGGGGAGCTTATGAAGACACGGGGTAGCTATTTTGGGATACCTCAAAGTAACCATGCAGTGTAGACCTTCCCGAAAAGCAATATATATATTGCAACAAACTAACAAAACCACTGATAACAAGCCATCTCTGGACTTGTTTGAATATTGATCATTAGTAAACATGTTCATTTACTATTTTCTGCAGTTACTCAGTGAAGAAGTGTTGAGTCACAGCAGCTTACTAGAGACTATTGAAGCAAAAGGCTCTAGCATGACTGACCATTATGTAACACAGCTAGAACTCCAGGACCTCCAAGAACGATACAGGCTCCTGAAAGACAAGACAATGGTACATTTAATCTTGGCAGTATTCCAATGTGTTTCTCTGAGTGTTTCTATGGGGTGGAGAGAGAGAGCACCTTTAGTTTTATGTCTGAATTTTTAATGTATATATATATATATATATTTGGGGGCAAATTTAACGTATCTATTTCTATTTAATTCAAAAGCAAACCTCTCATTGACTTGAGTACAGCTAGGATTTCACCCTAGAAGACTACAAGTTTAAAAACATGAGTGCAAATACAAATAAGTGCAAATAACACACATGAAATTCATGTGATACGGCAAATGTAAACACTTGGCAAACCATCTTCTCACTAAGGGCATAATTTTACGAGCAGTTATTGCTAAATATAGAACTTTATTACTGAGCAGTGTCCCATTGATTTTTTTGTCATGTGATCCATTACAGTGAATGCTTCACTCAAATCTTGAGGGCTGGTGGGTTCCAGTACTAGCCCAGAAGGGATTTTGGAAAGCTTTTTGTTACAGACTGATGAAGGCTGCAGCAGTTTTAATGAAATATCTTAAAAAATCATGAACTTTTCAAAGTTGTATGTACTTGCAGAAACTTGTCTGTAGTCACTCTGCACAGGGTTGTGGTTTTGTGACATCATATTAAAATAACCAGTGAGGGCCTGGACTAAAATGTGGATGGGAAAATTAGGTGCAATAGTAGCATTGTGGATTCTCAATCAGTCCTGGAGCATAATACTGGGCCATTGTGATGGAGGTGCCAACTTTTAGATGAGGTGTAAAACTGAAGTCTCACCATATTGGAGTCAGCAAAGATGCATGATGAATTTAATAAGCATGAGACTTAACCCGAGGGTCTCTACCAAACTCCTCTACTGATAATTACAGAAATCCCCTTGCAGTTTGAGTTGCAGATAATCTTTTAGTTTTGCCTCTGAAAAATCTGCTCTTTAATGTTGCTAATATTTATTATTTTATTTATTTATTTAAAATATTTTTACCCCTCTCTATTTAACATATTCAAGGTGACTTACAATTTTTTTTAAACGCAATACAAATATATATAAAAAATTAAAATACAAGACACCAGAGGGACATAAAACCTGCTAAAATGTCTTGAGAGGAGGAACACACACACACATAGGCTCAAACACCAATAAAATCACAAGTAAAAAGGGTGGCTTTCATCTGACACCCAAACAATGCTAACGTTGATGCCATGCAAATATATGATGGCTGTGGTGTTGTGCACCAGATATTGCAGTATTTTAGGGCCAGATCATGAAATCAGAGGGACTACTCATGAAAGTGATTTGTTTCTCAGTATAAGCATAGAGTTCATTGTCTAGTAAGTCATCTTTAGTTACAGTAAAACACTCTATAATGCAAGCTATTATATACTCCAAATAGGAGATAGAACTATTATTATATAGTTGACAAGGGTCTGAATTCCTGAAAAGAAAATGGGCCAGATTCTGAGTTCACACTTAAGACAATCATAAATAATTCCAATTAAGTCACTGGAGTTGTGCTAGTTTAAAAACAAAGTAAAGGAAATAAAAATGAGGCACATTGTTAATATTAATCAGTGCTTGTACTAGAAACGGAGTCAAACCAAAAGACCAAATCCAAAGCCGAAGTTCCTATTGGATTCTACGCTTGTATCTTCATAGATGTCCCCTCTTTCTGTAATTACACAAACCATGCCCCCTAACTGAGGCCCCCTGAACTTTGGGAAAGTTTCTCTCTAGATCCAAACTTTGTAGCCTATTTCTAGGATTTAAAATCTCTTAGCTGGTTCTGGCTCTAATTAAGTATTTTTAACAAATAGGAGGCCGTAACAAAATCTGAGAAGCTGCTTCACTTACATCATGAATATCAAAGAAAACTGAAGGCTTTTGAAGTATGGCTGGAAAAGGAACAGGAAAAGCTTGAATGTTTATCATATCTTGAAGGTGATGCTCAGACTCATGAGTCAACACTTCGGGACTTACAGGTATAGTATTGTATAAAATACAATAACAATAATTGCATGACAGAGAGGTTGTATCCTTATTTATCTCTGAAAAAAAATTAATCCACAATAATGCCAATGCTTTGGAGCTTTTAAAACCATGTTCTAAACATGCACAAGAATTACAGGCTTTGATTTTCAAGTGGATTTCAATAGATCCTCCCATTTGCAGGCACAAATAATGACATTAACTTTATTGATACAAGTGTGAAGTGCATATGCCAACTATTGTATCGGTGCAAAATGAAAGTGAAATCCTGGCTCCAATGAAATCAATGGCAAAAGTCCCATTGATTTCAAAGAGACAAGCAATTTGCCTCTAGCCTGTTAGCTCTTCTTAAGAATATAAGAACAGCCTAGTGGGTCAGACCAGTGTTCCATCTATCCCAGTATCCTCGCTAGATAGTGGTCAATACCAGGTGCTTCAGAAGGAATGAAGAGAGTGATTTATTGAGTGACCCTGTTGTCCAGTTCCAGCTTCTGGCAGTTGGATATGTAGGGACACCTAGAGAATGATGTACCTGACCATCTTAGCTAAAAATCATTTCTGAATCTATCCTACATGAACTTATCTTTTTTGAACCCCGTTAGGGTGTGTCTAGACTACAGGGTGGCCTTTTTTCGAAAAAGCTTCACCTGCATCTAGACTGCTGCTGCGTTCTTTCAAAGGTAAATTGAAAGAACACAGCAGTTTTGTCGACCACGGAAAACTTCATTTTACAAGGAATAACGCCTTTTTTTGAAAGTTCTCTTTCGAAAAAAGGCATTATTAAATGCAAACAGTGCTTTTTCGAAAGAGATCATCCAGATTGCTTGGGTGCTCTCTTTCAAAAAAGCAGCTCTTTTTTTTTTTTTTTGAAAAAAGAGACTGCTGTCTAGATGCTCTCTTTCGAAAGAGGCTTTTCAAAAGAGGCTTGTAGTCTAGACGTACCCTTAGAGTTGTGGGTTTCACTGCATCCTATTGCAGTGAGTAGCACAGGTTGACTATGTGAAGAAATACTGCCTTTTGTGTGTTTCAGACTTGATGCCTATTAATTTCATGGGCGACCCTTCTTTTTTGTGTTATATGAAGATGTAAATAACACTTTACAATTCAGTTTCTCTATATCATTCATGATTTTATAACCCTCTTTCAATGCACACACCCTTTGTCTGTTTTTTCTAAGATGAACAGTCACAATCTTTTTAATTCCTCCTCACATGGAAGCTGTTCCCTACTCATTCATCATTTTTATTGTCCTATTTTCTAATTCTAATATAGTTTTTTCAAGAAGGGTAAACCAGAACTGCATGCAGTATTCAAAGTGTGGGCACATCATAGATTTACATAGCTGCATTATAATATTTTCTGTTTATTATCTATTCTTTCCTAGTACAGTAAAAGCCTTTTTATGCTGCACTTCACCAACTGGCAAGCTCAATAACCAGTATTTCTTATATTTCTGGTTTATCGTGTGGTTGGTATGGGAACGACAGGGGACTGTGAGGTGCATTCTGGGAGGGAGATTGGATCTGTGAGGGGAGTTGGGGCAGTGGCTGGCATGCAGGAAGGGCTTGGAGTGTCAGGTAGGGGGGCTCTTGCTTCCAGCAACCCCTGCGAATGGCTCCTTGTCCTGCTGTTGCTGGCAGAGGCGTGGCACGATGGCTCTGCAGGTATGCTATTTCGGTCCCTGCTCCCCGAGTGCTGATTCCACGGCTCCCAGCCCATTTGCCAGTAACTGTGGCCAGTGGCAGCTGCAGGGGGATGTGATTGCAGGCAGAGGCAACATGCCTGCTTGCAGCAGAGCTGCCTGGCTGTGCTGCGGCCAGGAGCATCAGGGGTGGGGAGCTGCTTGCGGTGACTGCCAAAAGGGAGCACCTGTTCCCCCATCCAGTACTCCAAGCCCCATCCATTCCCCAACTCCCTGTCAGACCCAAGCACCCTCCCAGAGCCTGTACCACACAGCCCCTCATGCACCCTTGCCTCATACTTCCCCCTCCCCGCACTCCAAAACCCTTCCTCTTAGTACACCAGCATTTTTTAAATTTACCAGCACCCTCGTTACCCCATTGCACCAGATAAAAGGCCTTTTACTGTAGTTCCTAACATTGTTAGCCTTTTTGACTGAGAGATTTTTAGTCCTGTTCTTGGCCTAACAATAATACAAAAGGACTATATAGCATTAATCAAATTTAACATGTTCATGAAGTTGTTGGGACAATTTGCGATTAAGGGTTCATATGTGAAAAGCCCAGTATTTTACATATGACTTTTAAAGGAATTAAAGTCAGTGTGAAAATGTGTATACATCTCTCTAGAAAATTATACTTTTAAAAAATATTCACATGGAAGGAAAGTTTCTCAAATTTAAGGCTGTGGTATTTGTTTGATAGAAATAAATCTGAAAATTACATTTCAGGTTGCTGTGCTGTTCTCTTGTGCTGTGTTTGAACATATAATCCCTTGGTGTTTTTATTGAAGCCATTTTCTTTCAGTTCTGGAATTAATAGCAGCAACCCAAATGTGTCTTCTGTATCCAATATATTCATCAGAAAAATGGGGACCTTTATGCTCCCTAATTTGACTAGCTCATTTTGCTATCAAATGGATTTCTGACAAGCTTGCATTGCACAGTCTCAAAATACCCCAATTGACTTAGTACCCTGGAGGACAAAGTTAATATCAGGACTGGGCAGCAGTCTGACAGAGAAATCCAGCATGTTGAGATTCTTAATAACAAAGGATATGGGAATGAGTTTGTTTATGAAATATATACAAGGAAAATATCAGCATATTTATTACTAAAAAATCTGGGTCATAAATCATCGCCAAGCCAGCTGTTTCCTGATTTTTGTATGCTTTTTATTAATTCAGCTTTATTAAAATGTAGCACCTTTTGTGGCTGTTTTTACTTACCCAAATGTTTTTATTGGCCTATGTAAGAGCAATGGAAAATAGGTCTAGGAATCTAATGAAACAGATTTGGTTTAAAACGTACCCACAGTGTCAAGTTAGTAGTGTGCTGGCTGGCTGCCTGAGAGTCTTGAGTTACAGAATGTGCTGGATGGGCTCTGGGATCCCATGTTCTCATGCCAGCAAAGAGGATGTATGTTTTGGAAGTGGTGATAAGCTTGCAGCTCAGGGAGGAATATGTAGCACATTTTGGCTATCAATGTGTATCCCCTGATTCATTGAACAACACTAGTGATTGTGTCAAATAAAGCTGTGTTAAGATGTTTGACCAGAGTTGCATCTAGATGGCATAAGGTACTCAACCTTAAATTCACTGGGTGATGTTGTGACCTCCTGCCCCAAAAGTCAAAGGAAATTTTGCCATTGACTTCAAGGGAGCTAGGGTTTTATCTACTCTGCAAAACATTTTATAGCATTGTTAATGTAAAATGTGAACAAGGTACCCCTATACTTGTAACCTTGCAGGAGCTACAGGTCAATTGTGCAGAGGGACAGGCATTACTGAATGCATCACTCCACGGCAGGGAGGAGGTGATACCTTGGGGCATACCCCAGATTGAAGACAGAGCACTGGAATCCATGCGACAGGATTGGCAAGTTTACCAGCAGAGACTTTCTGAGGCCAGGACCCAGCTAAACACCAATCTAAGCAGATTGAGGTTAATGGAGAAAAAGTTTCAGAAGGTAAATGACTGGCTTAAAACCCTGGAGGAGAAAGTTAATATCAGGATTGGGCGGCAGTCTGACAGAGCAACAAAGGAGATGCAGCTACAGCAAATGAAGGTAACTACTCTCCATCTATTTGAGAAATGCTGACTGTAACACACATGGTTTATGCATTAGTGTAGTTGTCCTATGAAAAATGATTGTAAATATGACATTGTCATTATATCTCAGATCCACCTTTCTCAGCTTTCAGATGAAGAGATAATTTTTCCAGAGCTGTAACCTCAGTGTGGGATTTGGAATTCAGTTGGCCTATAGAGAGCACAGGCACAACTGAGAGAAGAGTTTGGTCTTGGAACTGGAATTTATTCAACATTTTTCCTGATGAGCTATCCAAACTGAATCCAGCTCACTCTCCCATGGTGGTGCTGAGTTTCTATGCTCTGCTGTCCAGAGCAAACAACCACAGGTTGTAACCACATACACTTGATAATGTCTTTTTTTTCCTTTGTCTCAGAAGTGGCATGAAGAAATAATGATCTACAAAGATGATGTTGAGGAAGTTGGGATGTTAGCTCAGCAAATCCTGGAGGAAAGTCATACTACCAGTAGAATGGGAAATCAAGCTACCCAGCTTACCTCTCAGTACCAAGCGCTTATCCTTCATGTACTGGTAAGTAATGGAAATTCATTCATTATAGTACTATGCAGTGTTAGCTACGGAGGAGATACAAGTAGGTATTATTTGTTGGGCATAGCAAGCACAGATTATTCACTGAGATAGAATCCTTAATTATATAACATGCATATACGAGAACCCCCGCCCCCCTCTCTAAATTTCAGTGGATGAAATAGATCAGGGCCTTGTTATTAGGAACCAGCCCTTTCAAACAACTTCTGCAGCCACCATGTCATGGGTGCTTAGCAATCTGTGTGAAATGTATTGGTAGTTGTCACAGGGTAGACTCACCACCCTGGCACCGCCAGCTGGTTGCTCTGGGAATTAGCTTGTTTGGCTCATTGGATGCTTCCCTCTAGCTCAGGGGTGTCCAAACTTTTTTCAAAGAGGGCCAGATTTGATGAAGTGAACATGCGTGAGGGCCGACCATTTTGCCTGACATTCTTTGAACCATTAAAATTAAATGCAAATTAACTATGTTATGCAAAGTTTATTGCAAACGGCAAACGACATAACACCAACTATACATGTTGTGTCCAAATATATTTATAACTGATTTAGACCAACTGACATTAACTGAGATTTTACAATGTAGTCATCTCAATTGAAAAAAAAACTTGCCTAAACTAATGTGAAGGGTGAAACTGAGATCTGGACTGCAGTACATAGGCTAGGTCTGGTTCAAAGGCAGTGGTTTTGATGCGCAAAATGTCACGCAGGTGAGAGTCACTTAGTCTTGTCCTCACGCGGTTCTTGTTAAAGTTCATAGCAGAGAATGTCTTCTCACACATATATGTTGAGCCAAACAAGCTCAGCATTTTCTTAGCCAATGTTCGAATCTCTTGAAACCGGCTCTTATCCAGTTGGCGGTAAAAGTTCACAAGAGAGAGCTGTTGGTGACGACTGCGTAACTCGCTGTCACAATGCAGCTCAATGAGCTCGAGCTGCAGCTGATCTGGAGCATCATCGGGGTCAACAGAGAATGGAGAGGAGAAAAGGCTGATCTCCTTTTCAATAGCTGCAAAGTCCTGAAAGCGCCGTTTAAACTCCCCAGCCAGAGATGCAATGTCTGCTGCATACCTGCTCGTTTGCGCACTGATATTGTCCTGTGGAAAACTGTTCATTATTTCCTGCAACGCTGAAAAATGTATGGTATTGGGCTGTGTTTGTGACAACTGCCTTATGAAAAGTTGCAGCTTTGTCCCAAAGGCTTTGAGGTGTGAATAAAGCTGGTTCACCGCTGCATCTTTCCCCTGAAGACTCGTGTTCAGTACATTCAGATGCTTTGTTATGTCAACTAGAAACCCCAAATCAGCCAGCCAAATAGGATCAGATAGTTCTCGCATTGGTTGTCCCTTTGTTTCCAAGAATTCTCCGATTTCCTTTCTGAGAGAGTAGAAACGCTGCAGTGCAGACCCCCGACTGAGCCATCTTACATCGTTGTGATATAAAACATCTTCGTATTCAGCCTGGATGTCCAGTAGAAACTGTTTAAACTGGCGGTGGCACAGGGCTTTAGAGCGAATAAAATTAATAGTCTTTAGCACCGGTTTCATAACATGATCATATTTGAGATGTTTAGCACAGAGAACTTGTTGATGAATGATACAATGGAGTTTAATAGCTTTGCCTCCTTCTTCGATCACCTTGTTACAGATTAGGGTTGATAATCCACTTCGTTCACCAACCATGGCAGGTGCCCCATCAGTAATAATCCCAGTAACTTTGTTCCAAGGCAGTTTCATGTCATCTATGGCGGAACTAACAGAAACAAATAAATCTTTTCCTCTTGTTTGGTCCGTAAGGCTCTGGAGGTCAAGTAGCTCTTCAGTCACATTCATTTCATCGTCCACCCCTCTCATAAAAATCAGCAACTGAGCTGTGTCAGATAGGTCCGTGCTTTCATCACAGGCTATTGAAAAGAAGTCAAAATCCACTCCTTTGGATGTCAACTGTCTCTTAATATCTGATGAAATCTCTTCAATTCTCCGTGCTACAGTGTTACGAGCCAGGCAAATGTTGGCAAACTCTTGCTTCTTCTCGGGACAGATATTCTCAACCATTTTCATAACGCATTCTTTGATAAAGTCACCCTCAGCAAAAGATTTGCAATTTTTAGCAATTAACGTTGCCACCTCATAGCTCGCCCTTGTGGCATTTTCATTTGACTCACGGGCTCTTATGAAAAATTTCTGTTGTGACATTAAAACAGCTTCAAGTTGCTTCAACTTTTCACTGCGGTCGTGCCCTGTAAGCTTGTCGTATGTGCTATGTCTCGACTGGTAGTGTCTCTTGACATTAAATTCCTTATAAACAGCCACAGTCTCTTGGCATATCAGACAAACACAGTGATTCTCTATTTCAGTGAAGAAATATTCCACTTTCCACCTGTCCTGGAAGCGGCGGCCCTCACTGTCAACTTTCCTTCTCTTATTTACAGTCGCCATTTTTTTAAATTGACCAGAAGGGGAAGGGATCATGTGAGCGCAGTGCCAGAGGTTTAATACACTGCCCAAGTAATACACTGCACTAATACACTGCCCAACAAGAATTCTCTTGCCTTTGTGGCTGTTTGTGGCGAAGTCTCTAATGATGAGCTCCACGTGCCGGAGCCCGTTTGTGGCGAAGTCTCTAATGTTCGCAGCTCCACGTGCCTGAGCCCGCCAGGAAGCTGACAGTGCACAGGGCCAATCACAGATACTGAGCTTGAGCAGCTGCGGAGTCCGTCCCTGATCTCAGCAGCTGCGGAGTCCGTCACTGCACTCTCAGCCCCAAGGTAGAGGGCTTGCAGGGTCAGAGGCGGGCGGAGAGCGCAGGGCACGCTGGCCTCACGGCGGCCCGGGGGCAGGGCGAACCCGTAGCCAAGCAGGGGAGCAGGGCTGTGGACGTGCCCTACATGGTGGACTTTAGGCTACATGGAGGACTTTAGGACCGCAGCGGCCGCCATGGACGGCAGCGGCGCGGCCAGAAGAGGCACCAGTCAGAGGAGCGCCGGGGAGCCAGGAGAGGGGGAGGAAGCGGGGGCTGTCCCTGCACTCTCAGCCCCAAAGCGGAGTGCAGGGGCAGGGTTTGGGACCGCGGCGGCGGCCCGAAGCGGCGCGCTGAGCGCGCCAGTTAAAAAAAGCACCGGGGAGCCGGGAGAAGCGGGGGGCCGTATTAAATCCGACCGCGGGCCGCATTTGGCCCGCGGGCCGGACTTTGGACATGCCTGCTCTAGCTGGTGTCTCCCTGTGTTTCTCTTTAGGACACTGCCCTCCGACAGTGCCCACTCCAGTGTCTGAGCCTCCTTTCCGGGGGTTGGTGTTTATCCTGGTTGCACTCCTCGGAGGGCACCCTGTTCTCCCAGGGAACACTTAGTTCCCCTGTACCCACCTTGCCTCAGTGACCCACTGCCTGTCTTCATCTAGCCCCTGGCTCAGGGACAAACTGCAGTCTGTAATGGCTACTCATCACCGGCAAAGAGGTGAAAACCTGTTGCCCCTGACTACCATGGCTGCTTCTCTACAGCCCTAGTAGTCTCAAGGTTTGCTTCAGGCCCTGAAGCATAGGAGCTTGCTTGGCCAGAACTTCCCCAGCTCTGCTCTACCTCCAGGAAGCCTCCTGCTTCCCTGGCAGTCAGGTCCCTACTGCTCTCTCTCCAGAGCAGCAGTCAGTTCTCCTCCTTGCTCCAGGAGCCCTTCTTTATACAGACCCCAACTGGGCCCTCATTAGAAAGAGCTGCCTCAGCTGGGGCTTGTCTCTCAGACCTCACACAGGGCTGGGGTTTTGCCTTTAAAGGGCCAGTGCAGGGAAAACACCCTGTCACAGTAGTCTCATTCTGTTTTCTTACAGATAGTTGTGTAAGTTATTTGTATCACAAAAAATACACTCATAGGGGATACAGACTGATACCTCTCTTGGCAATCCCAGTAGACAAGAAAGCTGGGATTTAGGTCAGTTTAATTGCGTGGCTCAGAGTGCATGGGTTTCACCTACTTAGTTTCCTAGTATAGGCAAAGCCTGAATTCACTCAAAAGTATAAAATAGAATTTTATCACCTGTACTTTTTAGTACTAAAATATTACTCCATTTTAACATTAATGATTGATATGCACACACATTGGGTACGTCTAGACTACATGGCTCCATCGACAGAACCATGTAAAATAGTTTATTCGGCATAGTCAAAGAACCGGGGATTTAAATAATCCCCACTTCATTAAAATAAAAATGGCCACGGCACGGCGCGGCAGTCTAGATGCGGCGCAGTCAACAAGGGAACCCTTTGTCGACCGCTCCGGTATGCCTCGTGAAACAAGGTTTACCGGAGTGGTTGACAAAGGCTTCCCTTGTCGACCGCGCCATGTCTAGACTACTGCGCTGTACCGGATCAGCTGATCATTGGCACAGCATGGCGGTCATGTTTATTTTAATGAAGTGGGGATTATTTAAATCCCCACTTCTTTGACTATGCTGAGTAAACTATTTTTTACATGGCTCCGTCGACGGAGCCATGTAGTCTAGACATACCCATTGAGAAGAGACTACAGAAAGCCTCTTGAAAACAGTTATCTGATGGATATGAAAGGAATTAAGTAAAAGTCAATGAGCTTAGTAAATTGATTATTCTTTCATAAAATAATATTTTGTTATTTTTATTAAACATTCTATTATCAAGAAATAAACAATGGTAAGCATTTCATTTTCTGTTTCCAACATTTGTGTGAAGGAACAAATAAAGTTCCTGGAAGAAGAGATTCGAAGTATGGAGGAATCAGAATTGGCTTTCAGAACTTACACAGATTGGTATGGAGCCACTAGCCAGAACTTAACAAATGTGGTAACCAAGACTGATGTAGTGGATAAAATGGCAATGGAAAAGAAAATGCAGAAACTAGAGGTACAGTTTGCTTGAACTTGGTATTTCTTAGTCATTGTTCTTGAATCAAGTCACATAAACTAGTCCAGATTTAAGGTGCTCTCACCATTGCTCAGAATTCTGATTTTAACAGTCCAGAGTAGTTAGCAGCATAGAAAGCATTTGGTGTAAAATTGGATGTTCTCCTAGGGTACATCTGCACTGCACACTTATTTCGGAATAAGCTATTCTGGAAGAAATACTCCAAAATAGCTTATTTTAAAGTAGCACGTCTAAACTACAGGGAAGCCTCAAAATTAGTCCGAGGCAGGCTCCCCTAATGTGGATGCGCTACCTTAATTTAAAGCCCCAGGAAGCACTAGGGAGTAATTATTTTGAATGTCCATGGGGTGGAGCTATTTTGAAATAGCAGCAGTGGAGCATCCAAACTACAAAATAGCAATTTCGGAAGAGGGGTTATTCCTCATGGAATGAGGTTTACAGAAATCGGAATAAGCCGTTGATTATTTCAAAATTATTTTGAAATAACAGAATTGCTGTGTATATGCTCACATTGTTATTCCAAAATAACGTGAGTTATTTTGAAATATCTTTGCCGTGTAGACACATCTCAAAGTCTGTGGAGTTTGATGACATTTGATAAATAGTTTGGTAACTATTTATAGTGAAATTCATGAATGAAGCCAAATGGTATAATCCCATTCTTCTAATAGAGGGTGTTTTTATTTTGATTTAGTTTTAAAAAAGACTTCCAAAATGATCATTTGATATAAATTTTATTATAGAAATGTGTTGTGGGGAGCAAAACTCTTCCTTTTCTCCCACTGAACAAACCCTCTGGTAAAACTCATACTGTACCCTAGAATTGTGAATTCCTCAGTGTCTTTGCAATATTTGAAACAATTACGCCAAAGAACAGCTTTCAACTATTACACATTATCTTGTGCAATTTGTATTTAGAGCTCTTTGTAAATAAAACTTCCTAGTTCAACTCCTGAAACGTCACCACCACTGTCTGATTTCAATTATGTGGTTTTAAAACATTATATCTTTAAATTAACAAAAGCTTTAATTCCTTTCTGAGATGCAAACTCTTTTGTTTTCCCGTTAGCCCTACTCAATAATCAGTGGAAAATGATAAATTATATATTCTTGTATCTGTTCCACTTAAGCAAGTCTGTGAAATACTGACGACCGTGATCAAACATCTTGATTGTGAAAAGTGATGAGATAGAAGTCCAGATACTCAGTTGACAATATTGTTCTGAAATGCAGCATAAACAGCACAAGTGCAAGATTCTCCAAACTTCACTGCTAATGCAGGCACCATCCCTAGCAGAGAGAAGTCCGTTCAGTCTCTTTGGCCTCAATAGTTTGAAAAAGACTTTGCTAGTTTCATATCTTTGACATCAAAATTACAGCAAAGGAAAGTGAAAGGGGTAAAAAACTCCATCTACTTTTTAATCTCCTTTTATTTTATTTTTTTACAGCTTCTTTTGAGTGACATGGATGTAGGCCATAGGTTGCTGAAAACTGCACGTGAGAAGGGTGATCGGGCTATTAAATACATGGAAGGAAATAAAGCTGACCAGTTAAGAAAAGAGATCAATGATTACATGGAACAGCTTGAAGAGCTGGCCAGCTCTATAAGGAAGGAACATACAAACTTAGAGAAGTGCCTCTACTTGTCAAAGGAATTCTCAGACAAATATAAGGCACAGACTCGATGGCTGACAGAGTACCAAGCCATCTTGCATACTCAAGTGGAGCCCAAAACTGAATTATATGAGAAGAAGGCTCAGTTATCCAAATACAAGGTAAGAATTGATTTTGTGACTCCATCATATGAATTAAGTTTTTAACTAGAGGTTACTTAGGTCAAGTTTTTAGCTTAATCGGATGCCCAAATCATAAGTGCATAGTGTCCACACCAGAGAGCCAATGTAAGCATCCACATGTGGAATTTGGGTGCCATAATAAGTTTTTAATGTTTGAAGGTTACCCATCGGGGCCAATTTTTGTTCTCATTTACATGGAATAAATATGGAATAACTCCTCTCACATCAATAGTTATTCTGGATTAATGAAAACTAATCTGAAAACTGCAGGTCAGATTCAAAGGTGACATAAATTATTATATAAATTATATGATGGTAAGTCATAAAAGTTATTTAGTAGTAAACTTTGTGGGGCATGAAAGGGAATGGATGTACCAGGGAAAGCAACTAATAGATGGGCGAAAGAACTCTAATTAGTTGCTTTTCCAACTATACACTGCTATGATTTTGTGTAAGAGAGATGTAGCCATGTCTGGTCTTGCTGAAACAAAAGACAGGACTATGCAGCACTTTAAAGACTAACAAGATGGTTTATTAGGTGATGATAGCTCATCACCTAATAAACCATCTTGTTAGTCTTTAAAGTGCTGCATAGTCCTGTCTTTTGTTTCATCATGTGTAAATTACATGTGTAATATACATGTAAGTTATGCATTTTTTTATATTATCTTCCCCTCAGCATGTAAATTATATGCTTTTTTTGTATCTTTACTTTGGATTTCTTAAATGTACAAGTTTTCACCTAGTGATACATGCTAATATAGATAATGTACTATATACTATTATTTGTATCACCTTTGATTTTATCCTTGAATACCATAGAAAGGGATTTAGAACTCCTTCTCATCAGTATACAAACTTTATGGTGTGATGATAGAAAGAGTTGGACCAAAATTTGTTTTCCATTACACTAGTCTACATTAGCCCCCTAGTTCGAACTAGGGAGGCTAATGAGGGTGACCGAAATTGCAAATGAAGCACGAGATTTAAATATCCCGCTCTTCATTAGTATGTTCCCGGGCTTTCGCCATTTTGGAAACTGACTAGCCTGGAATAACTGCCCATGTCTACACGCGGCAGTCAAATGGGAGTTCGATGTAAACCCCTTAACTCGAATTATTTGTTAAACCTCATTCCTCGAGGAGTAACAGCTAATTCGAGTTAAGGGGTTTACGTCAAACTCCCGTTTGATTGCCACGTGTAGACACGGGCAGTTATTCCAGGATAGTCAGTTTACAAAATGGCGACTGCCCAGGAACATGCTAATGAAGCGCGGGATATTTAAATCCCGTGCTTCATTTGCAATTTCGGTCGCCCTCATTAGCTTTCTTAGTTCGAACTAGGGGGCTAGTATAGACGTACCCTAAAAGTCAAAGGGATTACTCCGGATTTATGCTGATATAGCTGAAAGCAGAATTTGGCCTCACTACAGCTGGCAGATTTAAAATACCAGTTGATTTAATAAATGGTCTGAAAAAATCCTGCTGCTTCAATGGTGTGTTGTCAGTGGTGTTGATCATTGTAGAAGTGGAGAGATGTTTACAGGTTTTTCATCTGTTCTGACAGGGTCTGAGTATTTCCCAGACCTGAAGAAGAGCTCTCTATAAGATCAAAAACTTGTCTTTCTCACCAACAGAAGTCATCCAATAAAAGTTATTATCTTACTCATCTATCTGTAATATCAAACATGGCTTCAGCAAAAAGGAAAACAAAAATTGTTTTTTAACATTTACTTTTGTACAGAAATAATGACAGCAAAAATAAAAATTGCAACGATAATGCCAATCACCCACCTTATTAGAGTCTTTGTAATACACTGCAGGGCTCCAGATGTTTGCATAAAAATAGAGGCTCTCAGGCATCACTGTGCATATGAGGAAACCAGTATCTCACAGCATGTGCACATACTGTCATGTGTCACTTAGTTCTAAAATGGCAGGAATTAGGGAACAGTTGATCAGATGTTGTCCCTTTGTTGATAGTCCATTTGCATCATTGCATTAAAGGGGATGTGACTTCTCCTGGAAGAGGCAGTGGGGTCCATCCCCAAACCTGTAAACTATAGCCATTGGCTCAGGGACTCCTCATACACACAGACACTCGCTTCACTCTCTTACTGCAGCTTCCCCCAAGATACCTATGGGGGTTTCAATGAAAAAAAAATAATACAGCCCTAGGGGCTGGTTGGGGAAGGATGGTTTCATAGAGGAGGCTGCGCCCTCTACTGTATGTGGAGGAGGAGATCTGTGATTAGAGGGGAACCTGTGAGCCTGAGATCTAAGGGAAGTGATTTTAGCACATTCTATTTATAGTATGTTTTTCACTCTAATGTTTGTGCTTATAGTCAGTACAACAGACGGTGCTGTCCCATGAGCCTTCAATAAAATCAGTCACTGAAAAAGGAGAAGCCCTTCTTGAACTTGTGCATGACGTTACTTTAAGGGACAAAATTCAGAAACTTGAAGTCAATTACCAGGAACTCTGCAATGCGGCAAAGGTAAAAGAAATCAGCAAGTGAACTCTGGGAGTCTTCCATGTCACTAACACAAAATATGAACACTTTTTTTCCAGTTTAAAAAATTGAGGTTCTTTCTTATGGGTGACATTTCATCCCAAAGCAGAGGGCAGGCAGAAGCCCCTTCTATGTGGGGCTTATGTGGTACATTGAGTCTCGTGTGAGTACTCTGCAATGAAGTAAATTATTACCCGTGCAAATATCACAAGGAAAGCTCAAATGAATATTGAGGAATTTAAAAGTCACATTCCTGTCTGTTATTTTGTCCACTGTAATTACAAGTAATGTGTGAGATTACTACACAGGGTGTCCGCTCTATAAGTCACCCTGATATACATCTGTTCCTCACTAAAGTCTTTGACACTTGTGGGAAGTGATGAGTTATAAATCCACCCATTCCCCACTCTTAAGTCGCAAAAAAAAAAAAAAAACCAAAACAATTTGTGCAAATGGAAGTCAACCATGGGAAAAAAATTCCTCACTTTAAACTGTTTCTCTAAAAGTCCAGGGGATTTTTGGAACATATTTTGGACGTATAGCAACAAGGATTAGCTATCTTTCAAGTTGACAGTGTATTTAGGCATATGTTGTTTAAAAAAAAACTGGTCCCAGCCCTTAGGCTATGTCTACACTGCATGCTTCTTGCGCAAGAAACTTTTTGCACAAGAGAGTGTCCAGACTTCATAGATGCTCTCTCGAAAGGAAATTGATTGCTATTTACAGAATGGCCACCAGGCCAGCTGTGCTTTTTTTGATTGCCTCTTTTTGCGCAAAAAAGCCCTGTTCCCTGTCCACATATATCTTTTTGCACAAGAGTTCTTGCGCAAAAAGGAGTTATTCCTTGTAGGAGGAGGAATATCTACACCGGAAAAACCTCTCTGTTCTTTTGTTTTACTAGCACAAAAACATGCTTGAGGTATGGATGCTCTGCGAGTGTTTGCGCAGAAACAAATGTTTTTGCACAAAAACTCTATAGTGTAGACCTAGCCTTACTGATGTAATAAGTTCTTTTGATGTGTTCATTGTGGGCTAGACTTAAAACACTCTTCCTGTGAGTAAATAGTTTGCAGGATCAGTCTCTTAGTAACTCTTCAGGTTTCAAAGCAACTTTTGACATCCTTTCTCTTGAAAGTGTCCTTAAAATTGTGTTCATATGGTCCCACAGGCACATGTTGAAAGCTTGACTGTTAAAGTAAAAGAGCATGAAGATTATAACAGTGACTTACAAGAAGTGGAGAAGTGGCTGTTACAAATGTCCAGCAGACTGGTCACTCCTGACCTTATGGAAAGCAGCAGCATAGAAATAATAACTCAGCAATTAGCCAACCACAAGGTAGGTCTTGTGTTTGAACACATGCCATTTGATAAGTTAAAATAAAAATAAATACTCCAGAAACTCCCCATCTCAGTTTTGGGGCTGTAACTTTTTTATCATCCTTATTTGTACTATGGATGTACAATACAGATTAAGCTGGCTTCTGCTGCCACACCCCACCTCCATGCGTGAGGCTCCCAGCTCCAGTTGTCCCTCCTCTTCCCCCCACCTGCTTAGCCATGCTTAGAGTGGCTGGCCCCTGCTCCCAGCCTCACTGTGTGGACGGGGAAGGGGCAGCTCCCAACCTCTGCAGGGCTGGAGCAATCCTCTGCCTACAGCAGCTGCTCGCAAGAGTGGTTAACTGGTTATTACCAGGTGATGCATACTGGGTACCTGTTAACTGGTTACCCATTCACATCCCTCATTTGTACTTACTCAAATATCTGACTGGCTTACCAAGAAAAATGTACTGATGCACTCACTGTCTATATCCAGATCAATGTGTTTCTGAATCATCTCATTTTAAATGAGCAGCAGTGACAGCATGTGAAGGTTATATATATATATGTCTGAATTTTGTATTAGATTTTCTCTATTTCATGCTGAGAAGAAATAGACTGCAAGTGGTAAAATAGTGCCCTCATGTCCTTGCGCTTCCTAACACTTGTGAAGGCAAAGAAACTCCTGGTTTTACTTTCATATTATTTCTCTCTTGGGTTGTAAAATATCCTCAAATACTCTCATAAAAAGCATAATTATTGCTAACAACTCACATCTGCGGTTAGTACACATTGAAGTTAAAGAAAGTCACAATCCTTTTCTCAAAATTCCTTCTAACTATGGGTCAGATAATGATGTCCTAACTTATTTCTTGATTTGTATATTATTCCGTAAGTAGTTTCATTGCGTGAAATACTGGCTCCTTTGAAGTCAATGGAAAAATTCCTATTAACCATAATGGAGTGAGGATTTCAACCATTGTTCTTAGTGGGTCAGCTTTGGCTCAATTACTGTTAACATCAAAATCTGACTCTTTTATTAGATTTGACATGGAAAAAGGGGTGAAAAGGGGCAATGAGAGGGACTGTTGACAAGGAAGAATAGAAGTTACTTAATTTAGAACAAAGCACATCATGTTGGTTTATTTAAGATGTTTGTAGTGTAGAGAAGACCCACAAATGTGGCTTTGCTATATTCTGTTAAGTGGCAGATCAGGGTCTCTTGTGTGACAAAATCTTTAACAGTTTGTATAGTCTCATAGCTGGTACATACCGGCTGTGTCTACACTGGCATGAATTTCCGGAAATGCTTAAAACGGAATACTATTCCATTTTCAGTTTTTCCGGAAAAGAAGCGTCTACATTGGCAGGCTGCTTTTCCGGAAAAGCCCTTTTTCCGGAAAAGCGTCTGTGGACAATGTAGATGCGCTTTTCCGGAAAAGACTACTGGGCTGTCTACACTGGCCCTTTTCCGGAACAGTGTTCCGGAATAAGGACTTATGCCCAAGCGGGAGCAGAATAGTTTTTCTGGAATAGCGGCTGATTTTGTACAGTAGAGCGTCGTTGCTTTTCCGGAAATTCAAGGGGCCAGTGTAGACAGCTCACAGCTTATTCCGGAAAAGCGGCTGATTTTCCGGAATAAGTGGCCCAGTGTAGACACAGCCACCATGTTTCTCATCAAAGCTAATAACAAATATATTTAAGAACAATAATCACACATATAATGAGTTGATTGAAGAAGTTATTATTTAGAAACGATTTTACTTTATGGGTTTTTAAAACTTTTTAGGCAGTGATGGAAGAAATTGCAGGATTTGAAGACCATTTGAACAACCTTAAAAATAAAGGTGACTATTTGATCAGCCAATGTGCAGAACATCTTCAAGCAAAATTTAAGCAACAAACACAAACCCATCTGCAGGGGACAAGAGACAGTTATTCAGCCATATGTAGCACAACTCAGAGAGTAAGTCTTTTTTCAACTATGTATATTGGCTATAATTATAAGCAATTGCTTATGTATAGTATTGTAATAATTTTATGCAGGATTGAAATAATGTATTTTAGAATTTTTGTAATAATTTGATGTTTCATGAAATTGTGTGAAAACTGGCTCTACAGGTTATGAATATACCTGTGCCACCATTCCTTATCCACGTACCAAGATGTAAACCCAAACTGACCTAAAATCCCTATTTAAAAGGGTGCACAAATTATTATTAATATAAAATCAGGAAAAATTGTCTCCATTCAGGAGGGGACTGTGTATTTTAATCTAATTTTAGGGGAAAAAAAGTTTGACTATATTTATTATCAAAGCATAGAGTTTGTTTGGCTAAATAAATAAATAAAAATCCAGGTGCATGTCTTCATTCTGGTGAAAAGTGGTTAGCCCAGTTCATGTAACTTCCTATTAGCTCCCAATGGCTGGTAATGGAAATTCACAGCCAACAGGAACTGCCAGCAGATGTACCTATGGCAGGCAAATAAAGTGTCCGGCCTCTGGGCTGATTATTGCTCAACTCTGCCTTAGTCTCACTTGAAAATTTTACCTTCTGTCTAAAAAATGCTGCTTGGTTGGAATTTGCTGACAATCATCTCATATAATGAGAAACCCGTATTTTATCTGTCTTCTGTGTCAGAAGTGAATGACCTTAACTGATCTTTTTATTCTAGGTATACCAGAGTTTGGAACATGAACTCCAGAAGCACGTTAACCATCAGGATACTCTACAACAGTGTCAGGCTTGGCTCTCTACAGTTCAGCCAGACTTAAAACCAAGCATGTGGCCACCTTTCAGCCTGGCTGATGCAGTTAAACAGGTAAAAGTTGTCCACGTGAACAATGTTTGGAACAAGCTGGGTTTATATACTCGATTATCCTTTTTGGTGTCAATCCAAGTAAGTCCCTAATATAGCAGGAAACACCCTCTGTGACTCTTTCACTCATGGAAACTTCAGAACCTCACTGGCAACTCCTAGTTCCAAGGATTTAATGTTCATGAACTAGGGGCAGCATAAGTTTTAGGCACCATGCAACTGCTCCCTTCCAGGCTTGTGTCTCTTGCTGGCCCAACATCATAAATGAAAAGATATTTGAACTTAAGGTTGAGCAACTCAATAGACACTCTCAGAGTATGTCTACACTTGCTCCCTATCTTGAGACAGGGATGCAAATGTAGTGTACCGAAGTTGCTAATGAAGCGCGGGATTTAAATATCCCACGCTTAATTAGCATAATCGCGTCCAGCCACCATTTTGAAATCGCATTATTGCGAAATAAAACGTCCTGTGTAGCAGAGTTATTTCGAGAGAAAACCCTTCTCTTGAAATAACTGTTGAACCTCATTGTATGAGGAATAACAGTTATTTCGAGAGAAGGGTTTTTCTCGAAACAATGTTGCTACATGGGGCATTTTATTTCGCAATAATGCGATTTCAAAATGGCGTCCGGACAAGATTATGCTAATTAAGCATGGGATATTTAAATCACGTGCTTCATTAGCAATTTCAGTACACTACATTTGCATCCCTGTCTCGAGATAGGGAGCAAGTATAGACATACCCTCAGTGATGTCATTGAAGAGCTTAACATTGAGGTTCCCTGTCTGCCTAGTCAACCATCTATCTATCTGTCTATTTATGTTCCCAGACCAGCTCCATGACAGTGGTGGCATAGGCACGTAGGTGTGTCATAGGAGAATTTGAGAAAGTTTTCAGCCTGAGGGTTATTGGGTTGTTCCTTGATGACAGCCTTCATGTGGATGTGGAGTTCTACCAGAGAATGTGGAGTTCTACCAGGGAAGCAAGGGAATATTTAGGGTCAGGATCAGCTCCCCAGAACCTCACACAGAATTATGGGTGTTGAGAAAATTCATCCCAGCCACACACTCCAGTAGAAACCAAACAGCAGTGGCTGGAAGACGCCTTCTTTTTCATGGCACATCAGCACTTGGGATTTGGCACAGAAGATCCGTCCCCAGATGATTCAAGGATTTTTTTTCATTTTATGTTGAAATGTACACAATAAAAGGCTGAGTTTGAAGAAGATCAGTTTCTCAACCTACATCTGCACAGTGCACTTCTCCCAGATTCTAGGGCCACTGAAAATGATGCTGGCTGTTGGAAAGGAATAATGACTGTCCCAGCCCTCAGGACTAGGGGACCTTAGTGGCATGATGATAACCTACTATATATTTTAAAGAGTTAGTCTGTTTGATCACAAACTCCTCCTAAATAATAAGAGATAGGACCACCAAATTCAGTATACTGCTTCCTCTTATAATTTAAAGTAACATAGGGTATGTCTACACTACCACCCTAGTTTGAACTAGGGTGGTAATGTAGGCAACCGTAGTTGCAAATGAAGCCCGGGATTTGAATTTCCTGGGCTTCATTTGCATAAAGCCGGGCGCCGCCATTTTTAAATGTCCGCTAGTGCGGACTCCGTGCCGTGTGGCTACACGCGGCACGGACTAGGAAGTTCGGACTAGGCTTCCTATTCCGAACTACCGTTACTCCTCATGGAGTTAACCTCATTGTATGAGGAATAAGGGTATTAGGTGGGATGAATTACAAATTCACTGAGGGTGGCTATGGGTGAGCCTCCCTCCAGGCTGTGATCAGCATGACATGTCATAGCATTGCACCATCCATTTGCTCCTGCCTGCCTTGCCCTGTGTGTGTTGGACCCTCACAGCACTCACCCCCCGGGCCGGAAAAAAAGCGTCAGCCATGTTCATGCAAATGAAGGGGGGGGGGGGGGGGGTTAAATCCCCACTTCATTTGCAATTGCGATATGTCTAATTTGCATCCCTTTTATCCCTTTGTGTTTAAATATGTTCTTTTGTAAGGGAATACTGTATGTAGAGGACAGCATGTCCTTCAGTGCTTTGATTAAAAAAATAAACTGTCATTATTTAGGATTGTGAAAAAACTATTTCCCATGAACCTGTTCATAAATAGTCTTAGTAATTTGTGGTTAAGACAAAATAGCCTTCTCTGAAGTGCTGCTCTTACATCTGTCCATCTGAAAATTATAATGAACATTTTAATGCAATGTGATAAATTCCAGACGATATATGAGGATTGTCTTCCTTCAGGTTAAACATTTCCGAGCTCTGCAAGAACAAGCAAGCACGTACTTGGATCTTTTGTGCTCTATGTGTGATTTGTCAGACACCACAGTGAAGAATACTGCAACAGACATTCAGCAAACAAAGCAAATGGTATGAGAGAGACTACAGCAGTCAACCTCTAATCCTTCTTAAAGTTTTAATTGCCTTGATCTATCCTCTTATACAAGGTTCATATTAGGTAATGGTTTAAAGAAACATCTTCTGTACTTACATCTTACCTTTCTCATAGAGAATTTATTTTAAATTATACTTCTATGTTGCCATCCTGTGCAATGCAAGCATCTCAGTGTGAGGTTGCTGTAGAGGGTATATTCAGGTGCAATGCTTCAGGACAGCAGCATATGGTATATATTATGGGTGTGTAAAGAAGTAGGACCTAGCCCAGTGTGCCAAGTTATTACTGTTTTTAGTGGCATAAACCTGACATGGGCTGTTTTCTAATTCTGAAGAATACATTTGCTTAAACACAAAGAAATGCTATGCTAATTTTCCTGTTAATCCCTAAAATTGGTATATCATAAAATCTGTGATGGTACTTCTAATTTTTTAACTAAAATGGACTTTTACATGTGCATACATAGAAATATATTATCAGAGATATAAGTTTATACTATATATACCAAAGCTATCCATGAAGAAACCTCATTTACATTTTTCCATAAAAAACATCTCACAGCAGGATATGCCTTATCAGGAAAAAAACCCTATATTCTGATAACATTTAAAATTCACTCAATCGAGTGCATACAGTAATCAAATTCCATATTAGAGAAGCAAGTTAAAATCCAAACCCAAGCATCCTATAAACTACAGTCTGAATATGTATACAGAATAGATAAAAGGTGCTTCAAGCTTTGGCAATAGGAACAGCTTGTTATTAACAAGCAAGAAAAAAAACATAAGTAGGATAGCACCGAGACATTTTAAGCCTTTTGAGAACCTAAATCTTAAAGGCATCTTACTATTGCATTTGAAGCAAGTAGCACTCTGTTTAACGTGACTGATGGACTCAGATTTGGTAAGCATTTTCCTTGCTGAATTCTGGGAATTCCACTAAAAGACATATAAGCAAAAGATCTGTGTTAGGTAAATTAGAATGAAACACAAAAATTGAGTTAAGTTTTCACTAAGTCGGTGAGGGGGTATATATATGTCCCTAGCTGGCATGAATCATGAAGTGCAAGCAAGACAGAAAATAGACTTTAAGTATATAGTTGTTTGTGCTTATAAAGAAATTGTTGAGCCCTGAATTATCTCTAAATAATTGCTAGATTCGTTTACTTTTTTTAGCCTCTTTCAAGATTGAATCATAATACATTTCTTTGTGTTAGCTTTCTTAGTAATGTCTTATGGCTTTCCTCTGAAACAGTTTTATTTTATGACTTTCAAAGATTAAGGCTTTTTTTGGATAGTAATGCCTTCTGAAAGTTTCACTTAGTCCCCTCAAGAATCTACTCTTTAATTGTGTCCTCTGCTCAGTTCTGTGCATTTCACACAGCTTATGAATAATTACACTAAAAATCCCCATCCCTTTTCTTTTTTCTTTCTTTGTTTTTAGATCGAGCAACAGATGATGCACTCTCAGTACCTGGCTCAGGGTTGGGAAGAAATAAAACAAATGAAGGCTGAGCTTTGGATATATTTCCAGGATGCAGACCAACAACTACAGAATATGAAGAGGAGATGGGCAGAACTGGAACCAAACATTGCCCAGAACATAGTTTTGCAGGTTAAGGTAAGGAGTCATTGTACTCTGAAAGAGAAAAAAGGAGAAAATGCATCCAACAGTTCATTTTATTATAGAACTTGCTGTATACTCAACCAGGGTTCATTAATTCTGTATGTGCCATCCAAGGAAGGGCAAGAGGGGACTGCTTTTGTTTATGATGATGCTACAGAGAACTAAAGCAAATAGGGAAATACTTTAATACTTCCCTACTGTTTTAGAGCAGTCAGTCAAATCTTTACTATGTTCCTTTGGCTTTCAGGCTAATTGCCTATTGCATTTGATTTGAAGTTAAAATGTGTGACATACTTCAAAAACTAAATAAATAACATAACTATCTCTAAAGCAGACTAAGCTATTATCTGAATTTGATTATAAATATTATTTTGCACTGTGCAGAACATATTCCATTAGAAAGAAATCTGATTTGCTTACACATATGGAGACATTTAACACACAGCCTTCAAAGCAGCATGCATTCCTATTCATTTAGAAAGCAGAGATAATTTCGATTGCAGTTTTCTAATTAGCCAAAACACTGTTACAATTACTAGGAAAAATATGTTCTATTTTCCACTGAAATATCATGATAATGAAGAGTCCAAACTTGCATTCTCTGGGCTAGACTTTATTCTGCCAGTCTTAGATGTATTAGATGTTAGGTGAAAGGTCAGCGTGCTTTCCTCACACTTGTGTCCCAGTGAGGAATGGAGCATAAGAGCAATGCTTGCTCTTATCTGAGTATGGCAGGATACAAGCACTAGCAACCACAAAAGGTGTGTGGAGAATGCAGAAACATGTCTTCTCTCCCCACTGCTCCAACCAGTAATGTTATAGACCATGTATAGGAGCACCCACTGAAATCGGACTGTCTCTACGAAAGAGAATTAATGGACAAAAATGAGATATCTGAAAAGGCAACACACAGAAACCTGTTGGAGAACACTTTAATCTGCCTGGATACTCATTAATGGATCTCCAAGTCACTATGTTGTTCCAGGCAATTCCACAAGCCAAATACACAGGAAAGGGTTGCAACTCAACTTCATTTACAAGTTTAATTCTTATCAGATTGGAATGAACAGAGCTATCAGCTGGCTTGCACACAATCTTCCACATTCTAATGACTTAACCAACCAACCAACCAACGGAGATACTAATTGTTCTTATCAGCCTCTTGTAACTTGAACAATCTATTCATTGTCTTTTTTCTCATTTAAATCGCTGCTTCATTTCCCTTTCCCT